ATCAAACTTAGACATGTTTAACATAGCTAAGTTAGTTAAGACCAAATCTGTAGAGTAGTATATAGTTATGTTGAAATATAATAGTGTACTATATATTATCTTTTGATAGACTATCTATAATAAAGGAAAGGACAAGATCACTCAAGTAGAAAAAAAAATATAAGTTTTATAAATTGCATAAATACAATAAATGTAATTTATATAATTTATATGATTTATATAACAAATATAATTTATGTAATTTTACTCTTATAACCTGTAATCATATTATATAATTCTAAACCCAACTTAACAACTTTTCAAGTTTTACATTTCTTTTTTACTTATTTTATATCTCTAGTATAAAATCTTAAGAAATAAAGATCAGCAACAAAAGTTTCATACTTAATCAATTTGTATACTACTATATGTCAAGTATTTTAAACTTTAAACTACAATTACATAATATGTCAGATAACTAGAACTCTATTAATAACTACAACTAATTACAGTATATTAAGCTAGTTGAACTTAAAGACTATGAGTAATCTTAGTATATTAAAATTAGCTGAACAAGTTATTAGATAAGTATTATATAGAGATTATACTGTTATGCTACTTTAATAGTAAATTAGAATTAGAAGTTATTATCTTTTCAGCCTTTAGTTCAGATATATTTACTTTGCTAAGTATATATTAGATATACAACTTCTAGTCTTCCTAATTATATAACTATTTTCATTGTTTTTAGCTATCTCTTCTCTTTTTGTGTAATACTTATTAAACTCACTAGTACTATGCTATATCATATAACTTACAGATCTCTCGAGTTAATATTCTTAATTCTAAATCTAGTAATTATTAATATTATGATATTAGAAAGATTATTAAATCTACTGTTCTATCTCATAATATTATGTATAGAATTTATAGTTTATCTTATAGTTACTACTAAAATAAGAACAGGCAGTTTGGTTACCAGAACCAAATAGATTTTTTAATGACTAGTACTAGATAACTATATCAAAAGAAGTAGTTAGATTTGGCAAGTGAATATTCTAAAGTTTAAGTTGTCTTTTCTACTACTAAGAGATAGCTTAATTATCACTTCAACAAGGGAAGAAATATAGTAATCATAAATTAATCTATAGACTTCACAAAAATAATTCTACAATGCCACTTAGTAGAATATTAGGAGAGATAATTAAGAAAAGTATGAGTTGAGTAGTAGAAATTATTCAATAATAAACTCCATTGTTTATATAAGTAAACTTGGGAGTTGTTCTTCTCTATAAGCCAATATAGCTTTTATTTATAATATATAATTTAAATGCAATTTATCTAATTTATTACATAAATATTATAAAAGTAATATATCTAATAAATCACATATATCCAATAAATCATATAAATCATATAGGTTATATAAGTTTTTTAAATCTTGTTATATAGTTTAAGATTATACTTTATAATACATAGTATTCAAAAATTTCAACTATAAATTTTTAATTAAATTATTAATAAAGATAGAAATATGATCTTACTTTAGCTTTGCTTAAAAAAAATAAATTATATAAGTTTTATAAATCACATAAATACAATAAATACATTTATATAATTTATATGATTTATATAACAAATATAATTTATGTAATTTTACTCTCATGACCTGTAGTCATGTTATACTATTCTGAACCTAACTTAATTACTTTTTAGGTTTTACAATAGATATTAGCCTAATAATCAAAGGAAGACTTTTATGTAGGAAAGTCAAATTTTTATCTAAATTATAGCTTTGAATCTGATTTATAATAGGTTTACTATTTTAGTAGATCTTGTGTATGCACTTTTACAGTAATTCATCTTTAGTACTTGAGATGTTTTATATTTTAAGTATAATCATTTTTCAATTTACTATTCTAAAAATTATAAAGAGTATTATAATTGAAATTTTTTAGACTACTATATATAGTAAAGTACTTATATACAACAAACTGTACTAGTTATTTAATTTTTTTATTTTAAAATTTTAAATTAATAAAACTTGTATAAAAAAAAAATAAAAAATTAGTATGCAAATTTAGAGAAATGTTGTATATTTAATGTTTTTTATTTTTTTTATTTGTATATGATCATATATGAATAATAATCTAATTCTATTTTTTTTTAAGTATTCTTTTGCTAATTATTTCTCCAATATGTTTTAACTCTTTTTTTAGTCTAATCTGAAGAGACAGACTAAAGTTCTGTTAACATTTTCAGAAATTCAGTACCAGGCATACTATCTTTAAATTTAAATAGTTATGCAAGTATATTTTTCTCTATTTTTGTAGTACTATGATATATTTATTATAATAGATTAGTTGATATTTGTAGTGATACTGAAGTACCTTATTAAACAATTAGTTCCTGAGCAGGATTATTTTTTTTTTTAGATTAAGTTCAGAAGAAGAAAACCAATTTATACTTTAAATATAACATTTAGAAGTTCAAATTTTGGTTTAATATATATCTTCATCAAAAACTTCTTGAAAGTATGATTTGTTAGTTTTATAAAAAGAAAGAATATTTTTAATACCTTCTTCATTAATTTCTAGTACATTTTCAAACAAATAGTATTCTGTAAGATTTGAATAGTTAAAAACAAATATCAACTTTTCAACTAGAGACTAGAGTGAATCTTTGTATAATATTGTTGCACAAATATTTTGACTCATCATAATATTATCAATATATTTAGCAAAAAGTATTAATAGATGATTTTATTTACTTTAGGCTATTTTGATCTTTAATATTATACTCTGCTAGTTAGTAATATTACTGATAATATTTTGCTTAATGAATTTTACACTATATATTTCAAGTACTTTATCAAAAGCAAAATAATATCCTTTATTTGTTAGATTTACTGAATATGCTAACTGTAATAATTTTTATCTATGAGTCATTATGAATTTAAGTCAAAAAGTATATTACAGAAGTTGCATACTTAAACTTTCCAGCTGCTAGAAAAAGAGGTACAAATATAGCCAAATTTGCTATTTGTATTTTGTAATTTCTTTTTCTAATTCCAATTTTATGGTCTATAAAATATTCTGCTTAACAAAAAAAGAAGTATTACATCTTTATTAGGTAATTATTACTATTCAAAATATTATTTATTTTTTTCTTTTCTTTTTTGATATATTAATATAATTCAATTCTGACTGCAGCTCAGATCAATTCTAGTACATGATATGTAGTTTAATAATTTACTATATACTCAAATTTGTCTAAGTATTGTAATTGAGAAATACTACAAGATTAAATATTCTATATTCAGAAAAAATTGTAATTAAAGCATTATACATCTCTTTAGATATATAGCATTGTTCTAAAAGAAGTGAATATCATTATGAGTTTTCTTATAAGAGATTAATCTCTCAAAAATTGCTTAGTTACATACAATATAGAGGTATTCATCACAACTATGAAACAAGTTATTACAATATATTTTACATGCTATATGAATATTATCATTGTAATTAGACAGATTACTAGGTTTTAAAATTATAATTTTTGGTAATAAAAGCTTGCAACTTACAGATTTTTATTCAGCAATTTTGAAGTGTAAATCTTTTATTTCAAAGTTATTTATATGATTATTTAATATTTTATTTAAAATAATTTCATATATTGTTAAAATATCATTTGTAGCTAAAGATTCTTCAAACAATAGTTGATTAACTAATTTATAATCTTCAGTTAGATAATTAAGTAAAGTAGGAAGAGTAAACTGAAATACTATTCATAATATTGCATGTGAAGTCTGTTATATAATATCAAAAATATTTTTAACAAGAATATGAAAGCTTTAAAGTTGATATTGTCAATTACTACTAGATTCTATATGTTAGGTCCTTCAATTAAGTTATTTCTAGAATCTATATATTGTATTCTTAATTTTTTAAGATAAATTTTATGTCACTAAGTATGTGAGATTATATGTGTTGAATAAAGAATTTCTTGTAGATATAGTAGTAATTTTAGATTTTAACAGATTGAAGATATAATATTTGAAAGCTAGATTTTTGTTTTAGAAAAAACAATTGTAAGTAGAATTAAAATCAGTAATATAGTAGTTTTTGATACTTGGTTTATATCATATGATTTTAGAAGGAGTCTATATTGAAGCCTTTTATTATTAACTGTTTTTTGTTTATATTGTTGCAGTATTATAAGAAGAGCTTGAAAGAAGCTACAAATAACAGTAGGCAATACTTTGAAGTAGTCTTCATATGAGCTTAGATTTTTTAATTAATTTTTATTATTTTTAATTTCAGAATAGGAATATAAAATTTTTTTTTCTAGCTTTTCTTCTATTAATGAGGCTTTTTCTGGAGTTATAAGTTTTTTCTTAGTTAACCTATTCAACTTATTTAATTCAATCTTTTTTATTTTTATTGCTATTGTAACAAGAAATTTGCTTAGAAATTTTACTATTTCTAATTCTGATAAATTTTTATTTATTGTTTTATTAATAGAAATAGTTAATACTGAGAATAGCTTCAATAAAAATCTTTCTTATAGTTCATTATTTTTAGACTCTACTACTGATATTATTTACTTTCTGATAAGTCTTAGAGTATCATTTATATCATCATGATGCTTTCTCTATCTAGTATATAATATATAGATACTACTTCTACTGAGTCAATTATACAAATATCTTCTATTTTGTTCAAAATATTCTGAGCAGACATAACATTCACAATAGCTAGAAGATAATTTTTTTGCAATATATCTCTTAGAAAATACAAAACTATTAAAAGTACTAATACAAAGTACTTGAATATTCTGCTTATTGATATTTTATGAATATTCTATATAGCTATTATCATAGCTAAAGAAGTATTTTTTTTATTACAGAAAAAGCAAAAATAAAAATAAGTAATGCTTTTATCAATTGACTATAATTGCTTCATTTTTGAACTATAGAGTTAGTTCTAATCAAAATAGAAATAACAATAACAAATACCAAGTCAAGAAAAATTATTAACATTTTCAGTTACTTGTCGTAGTCTTTGTAGATTTGTTATACTATTGTAATACTTTTCAACTATGTTTGTATCTATTTTCTATGTTCCTATTATTTGTTGCAAATGTCATAGGTTTTTTTACTATTGCAATACTTTATCTAATCTTGAAAATTATTAATAAATACATATAGTGTTAATTTTAGAATTTTTATAGAAATATCTTCAATTTCTATATCTCTTTTATTATTCAATTCTGTAAGAAGTTTATTATATGAATTGGGTTCAATCTTATTTAAATTAAAGTTTTCACTTTCATTATCATATAATAAAGCTTGTGTATATTCAAGAATAATTAAAATGATAATAAAATCTTCTTCATAATTTTCTTCCAAATCGAATTGTTCAAAGTAAGATAAATTAATAATGAAGTCTTTTTATAGTTTTCTTCTGTATTAAATTCTTCTAAATAAGATGAATTAATAGTAAAATCTTTATAGTTTTCTTTTGAAATATTTGATTTTTCAAAGTGAGTAGATTCAAAATCAGTTATTTTTTATATTATTTCAAAATTTAATTGCAAACTAAGTAATAGATAATATTTGGTTAGAAGTTTTTTTACAAAATTATAAATATTATAAGATTTATGTTTTAACTAGAACTAATATTTTAAGGTAAAATTATTTATATCTTTTTTTCTATTAATTTAAATATTTTATATATTTATATACTAATAGCATTTTCAGAGTATAATACTATCCCTTAGATTGTAGGCTAAAGCAGGCAAATTTGCCTGCTTTTTGTATTCATTCAGCTCTAATTTACTTTTTTAAAATACAAAAATATTAAAAAAATAATTATAGATAATAAAATTTGAAAATAAGGATTA